CTCTTTATTAGACAACTATATTCAATATTTATGGTTATCAAATGATGTAATCTGTTTATTTAGTGTTTAATATGTAGATAGATAAATTATCTGTCTTTTGTTGAAATTATTATTCTTGGTTTCATATTGTCAATTTCATCATATAAAATTATCCGGTGTATTTTCTTTTCCTCTTTGTTATTTAGATTTGTTATCTTTCCTCTCTTTTTTTTCAGTGCTATTTGTGATTTAATCTTTATGTATAAGTCTATTTGTATAGTGATTTGTTTATATACGAGCATTGTCTGAAAGATCTTTATGTATTATGTAAGTGTACATGTGTATTTATGTTCACATGGTAGTATATTTACTGCTGTCCAGTTGCTCGTTGTTTTTTTTTTTTTTAGATCAATAAATTTCATTAGTGGCCACCCATCAATGACAATTTCATTTAATTGTTCTTAATTGTATACATGTACTGTGTTATGTAAATGGAACATTTGTATTCAGTGTAATTTCTTTCTTACATCTGTGGTAAGCACAAGTCTATAGCTTCGAGAATAAAATCATTGTATTTTTTTACTGAATTTACTTTCACTACTGTTTATTTAGAAAGTAGTATAACTTGCTTTGCGAAAGTATTCTGTTTTTTTTGTTCGTCTATTTAGTTCCCGTTGGTTTCGTGTTATCTTAATTTAGAAAGAAAATGAATATTCTTTTTGATTAACACAAATCTTATACAAAAATCACATCTCATAAACTATCTATTGATGGGAAGTAATACTGACTATATTTCTTGTCCCGGTTCTTTTGCATTGTTATTCTTTATATCAATATTTATGGTACTCCATAATCTGCTGTGAATTTATAAGTTTCTTTGTTTGTTTGTCTGTTTTCTCATTGTAAAATAGATGTCTACCTACTTTTAATTCTATTTCCATCATGAAGTTTATGGGATAATTCCCCATCACTCATAGATTACAGAATTTTTCTCTTCGATTCCTTTTTTTGTTGCAAACTATCTAAGAAAATTTCATTTCTTCTTTTGTTTCTCTTAGATATTTTTTTCTAAATTTAAAACTATTCTAATGATATTACAATATAATGAAAGAATGTTCCTTATCCTCATTACTCTGTTCAGTTGGTTTTTTTTTAGAATTTGATATTATATAATTGATTTGTAGGAAATGAACGGTTTACTGAAATGTTTTCTTTTTTGTTGTCAATTCGAGTTCATTAATTCATCTTGATGTGAATAGATATTTCTTTATTGTGTAGTTGTATTAATGATCAATTGTTGTCATTATTATTATTATTATTGTCTTATACAAAATACAGATTAATGTTCTCGTTTGATAAACATTTTGTTGGTATGGTGATTATTACTGATTGTGAATTATAGTCAATAATTGTCAATGATTTTCAATGTCAGAGATGCTAATGTTTCTTTTTTATTTCTTCCATATATATATATATGGTACTTTATTATCAGATTCATATCCAAAATAAATAGAGAAAAAAAATGTATGTTCACTTTACAATTATGTATTGTCTATCATGAAGAAAGTGTTTTAAAAGAAAATAGATTGTTATAATATAAACGCTTTTTTTTGTTTCTTCAGTCCAATAAATTACATTATGAGATGGTGGAGAAGATTTGTAGCTCAAGTGGATGATTTTGATGGAGTTTTGTTCTCTGAGCTGGATGGTTTGGTCGTGGAGTTTTCATCGTTCTTCTGAACAACATCATCAGCACAAACTTCAGATAGAAGTGAAGTGTTTGGATTTCTCCATATGTGGTTCATAGCTTGTTCTGTGCACCTCGACGTTGATTAGTTCTTATTTACCTTAAATTTGTCATTGTTCACTTCTTTGTTTTGGTTGTGTTTCCCATTGGTTTGATTTTTGTTCCTATATTTGTGCATGATTTTCCTGATTGGTTGATAAGTTGGATCGATTTCAATATGTTTGTTGATTTCTGATTGACCTGAGTGCCAGGCTTCTAAAAATTCTCTGGTGTTTTTGGAATTTCCTCTGTCCGAGATTTCCACATTTTTCCAATAGAATGAGTGTCCGCAGTTGTCCACATGTATTGATATAAGTGAAAAGTTCAAGTTTTTTCTAGGTTTTTAGTCACTTTGTGAAACGGCAAGCCACGTGACTACTTTTTTTCCAAATTATGGGGATGTAAGAAATAATAGAAGAGAGGGAATTATTTTTAAAATATAAAATAATGATAATAACTTCATTCCATATGTAATGTTTGTATGAATCTTCCCCATTGATTTTTAGGACTGCAATAGAGCAGTTACTTTTGGCATATGTGCATCGTGTGTGAATGTCCAGAATATTGCCAATGAGTCACAAGGACTTTGAGGAGAGATGGATGATGGCTAGCAGTGAAATTAAGGACATGCGTTTCGTCCTACTTAGAACTCGTCAAATGGATATACATGCATCCTGTAGTTGATTTCGGTGTTTGGAACAAAGTGTACTGAGTTCGAGCTCCGGAGTGAACATAAAATCTTAGATGCAACTACATCCAGCTGATGGGTCCCAGATATGATTAAACGTGCGTCCTTGATTACACTGCTAGCCGTCATCCACTTCTGTCTAATATTGATATTACTTTAAGGCCATGGCAAAGATAACGATAAGACATTCTTCTTTTGTACGCACAGTTCTGGCTTCATCTCATGGGTGGCAAGAGCTTTTGTTGTTTTAAGTAGTTGGATACGAAGAAATCTTGGTAGAATTAATCGAATTCTATAAGCAATTTTAAAATTAATTTGTAGATCAGTGGAGTGGTTGGGATTAATTAAGTTTTCACAAGTGCAACTTCTAACTGCTTTGCTCTCATCCTTGTAGTACCACACTGGGATATGTCCTTGTATTTGAGACAGCAAGCGCTGACTACGGACAATGTACCTTGCTTCACAAGAGCAAGTGAACTGATCTAAATTATTTGTTTTCTAGCTTAGATATGAAACAGTGCTAAGATTGGACCCAGTGGAAACCTCATTACAGTTCCATCTATTTGAAAGTTAGCTGCTAAAATTATAATTTTATAACAATTTAAAGATTTCATTCGACGCGAGTTCATCTGAAGTTATCAGTTTCAAGATGGTGAAGTTTCATTCACTTAAAAATTTGTTTTAGTTTCAAAAACTGACAGAAATATTCCTTCGGATCATTTTTCAAAAAATATTGTGACATTTCATTGTGTGTTTGTTCAAATATAAGAGTTGTCTCGTTTAATAAATGAAGTGGGTGGTACGACCACCAATATAAAAAGTATGTCATACCTCAGAAAGCTTGATCTGTAGAGAAGTTTCCAATATTTGAAAAGTTACAACTTAAATCACTCGATAGTGTATCGGCCTGTCACTAAATCATAGTAATTGCAACTAATAATACATTCCCATAATATCCTATTTCAAAGTGGTGGTTTGTTTTAAACAGAGATGGTTGTTGGCTAACAGTGAGATCAAGGACGGGTGTTTCGTCCTCTTTAGGACTTGTCAGAAGGATGTACCTGTCCAGTTAATAGTCACTGATTCGCTTAACGAGATGAATTTTAATCCTTTTGTTTTTGGTTGTATATGAAAAATACGTTAGGGCTTGAAGCGAACGGTACTGGGTGTGAATCTCGGAGAAAACATCAACTCTACGATGCAGGTACATACATCTGAAGAGTTCTAAATAGAACGAAATGTGTGTCCTTCAGTCCACTGATAGCTACCATTCATCTCATTAAAATGCTTGTAACTCACTGACAACATTGAGGCAATCCACAAATATGCCAAAAGTGACTGCTCTATTGCAGTCCTATACATCAATGGGAAGAGTCAATACGAAAGAATAAATTTTTTGTTTGTATGCAAAAACTATATTATCTGATATCATACATTCGGTCAGCCAACCGAAAGACAAACGATATTGTCATTTTAAAAAAAAACAGATGTATCACTTATGACTAATTAGTATCATTACAATCTTTTTTATTTATTCAACGTTCATTCTCTACATTGAAGTGGGCATAGTATTTCGTGAAATAGTATTGAGCAGATATAAGTAGTCGAGAAGTTCGTGTATCTAGGTAGCTGCATAAGTGCTAGTGGTGGTGTGAGTGATGAGATCGATTCACGTATAGTGAAAGCCAGAGAGGCTTATGCCAATCTGAGCCATCTTTGGCGCCTTCGTGATGTCAGTCTGGCCGCAATGTCGGATCTACAACGCGTCGGTTAGAGCAGTTTTGCTCTATGCTTGTGAAACCTGACCTCTCCGAGTTGAGGACGTTATACGACTCTCTGTGCTTGATCACCGTAGTCTCCAAAGGATTGCTGACATCCAGTAGCAACACCATATCAGTAATGCAGAGGTTCAGCATCGTGTGCAGAGACGATAATTCAGTTGGTATCACTATCTTGAAACATCGACTTCGGTGGCTTGGACATGTTCTACGAATGTCGTCCCAGAGAATTCGTCGCCCATTATTTGCCGACACTGGAACTGGTTGGGAAAAGGTGGTCAGTGTATGACACGGTGTTGTGGTATGAAAGAAAGCTGCATAGGACTAGCTTCTGTTTGTCCTTCACGACTCCCTGGTTGGGATCCTATAGATGGTGCAACACAGTGGCTAGAGACGTTATCAGATATGTCTCAGAATAGAAGAAAGTGGCGATCCTGCTGTAATCTTTTACTTTCTTCATAAAAAGTAACCGTAACTTTAACTGGGAGAATTCTTTTTGATTGTATCTTTCTGCTTCCCCTATTATTATTATTTCACTACCATAAACTAATTTCTGGTCGTTATTATCCTTTTTTTAAAGACGCACCTTACATTCTTTATCTCTTCCCATTCTCATTATTATTATGTGGCGCATAATATATCTGGTACCCTGCCCCCTTTGTACCAATATTTATGTGTTCAAATAAATAAACATTCTTTACATAGTTGTATACATTTATATTTACACACAAAATTAACTATTGTACAAGTAAACAAAACACAAACAATCTCATATATATTCAAGAACTGACATGATATATGATATAATATCTGTGCTAGAATTCATAGAATATAAAATCTCGCTAATTTCTTCCATTGTCAATAATTCCAATGATATTGAAGGTAATGATGATGACATACTTGTCAATGTTTCATTACATATAATAGATAGTTTATATAATATAGGACAATTATTTACAATATATTCTTGCAATACTTTATTATTATTCATGTTTATAAGTGACAAGAATTTAAACAAACCTATAAATGTTTCAATATAACACATTGGTAAATTTTGTTTTAAATATTTCCAATAAATCAATTGAGACTTCAAATGATCATTTAATGAGTTTAAGATCTTGATCCAATAGAAATGATCTCTATCAGGATTACATATACCACTATTATTATTATTATTATTCATAATATTCATACTAATATATAATAAACGCATTACTTCCTTAGTACCTAATTCTAAAGTGAATACTTTAAATAGAAAACAATCAATAAAATGATCTAACATTTGATGATTAGATTGTTGTTGTTGTTGTTGTTGTTGAAATAATGATATATTGAAATATTGTATAAAATTAGTTAAACACCAACATAATTCAATACCACATATAGACCATGAACATCTAGATTGATAATACCAATGAATAAGTAATAAAAAATTATTGAATAATTGATTAGATAATATAACAGAATCAATGAAAGATGATCTGATCTCAATTCTATCATGATCACGATCATGATGATCATGATCATAACATATACAACCAATAATACGTATGATATAGAATATACATTGTGATATCAATGATGGATAATCTAAATTCGAACAACAACAACAATAATATAAACATTTGCCTAAATATAATAAACATTGAATAAGATTGAAATGAATTTTATGAAAATAAATTTTTAAATAAGAAATTTTAATTAAATTAAATAATAATTTTAATAAATCATAAAGAAATAATAATAGATCATAAGAAGAATTGGGAGTACAGTTTTTTGTTTTTAAAAACGGATCATCAGTAATTTGTTGATCTTGATTAAGAAAATCGAAAACACTTTGATCTCTACAACAGAAAGAAAGAAAGGAAGAAATAAAAACTAATTTTGTTATTTTAGATGGAATCAATAACACAAACTGATTAGATTATATATTAAGTTGATAAATGTTTGATTAGCTTTAATCGGGTTAATGTCTATGGAAATCTCTGTATGGATTGAAAAAGCTTGTTTGAATTTTGTCAACTTACATTAGCATTTATGACGAAGATGGAATATCCGTGTATCAATTAAAGAACGAGTATACTGAGTGGCAGTTCGTTCTTTTCTACTTTACGGCTGCGAAACATGGCCATTAATAGTAGACGATACTCGTAAGCTACTAGTATTTAAAGACAGAAGTCTTAGAAATATTCCTCACATCTGTTGGGATCACCCGGTAAGTAATAGTGAGGTTAGACGCATAGTATTAGGGAATGATGGTTAATCAGTTGATTGGGTTGTGAATCTTCACAGACTAAGATGGTTGAGCCACATGTTACGTATACCTCAACACCGATTACCATGATGCGCAATGCTCACTAGTGTAGAGGATAGTTGGAAGAAAGTTAGGGGTGGCCAAACCAAAACGTGGCACCAGTCCACAAAGTCACTAACTTCTACTCTAAGCAATGATGGTAGATGCAGACTACTTGGTTGGGGTCCGCGTGACTATTGTAATCAATGGTTGGAGACTCTGTGTGACATCGCTGAGAATCCATCACAATGGCGTAGGTCTATATACTATTTGTCTTCCTTTAAAATAAGAGATTAAAATCGCTTCATATCTTTCTTTCTACGAACTAATTCTTTCTTCCTGTACTATGTCCCTATATGTTTTGTAAGTTGATTACTGAAGTCGAATTGGGCGAAGCAACATCCAAAACCAATATTCAATGAATAAAAGATAAAAACTCAAACGTTTAAGCTACTTAATTAAAAAGGCTTCAATAATATTGATGTCCATTAGATTCTCGTTACAACATTCAACTGTATATGTAATATTACATTCCAAAACAATTACATAGCTTACAAATACATCACTGAGTGGTGTATTTCCATTCAATTTGATTACTTAAAATAAGTGAATAGTTTTACATAATTTATTGAATAAACATTGAAACATTGATCTGAGTGATAACTCCATCTAGTCATTTATCCATACTATAATAAAATGAATAGAAGCAGGTTGAAATATAAATACGTACTTCTCTTTAATAGTTTATCGATGTTTTTGTTTTCTTCTTACATTTATCTCTTTATGGATCATATACTCATAATAATTTATCAGTCATATACTCATTCTTTTCCTATATATTCTACAATCAATAATCTGAAGAACATTGAAGTATAATTTAAATGATATGAGCTGATTCTCTCTAACAAATTTGACATATATCAGGAGCATGATTTCAGTAACATATTTAATTTAGATATTGCTCTTCTATTTTTCTCAATATAATACCAGGAACTGACCACATCTAAACAACGATTGTTTCATTTTAGTGTAAGATTTCCAAGGGGGGTCTCTACAGGCCTCGCTATGAGTTCTTAGCCTATAGACCAGTAAGCTGACTTTCAATGATCCGCATTTCTAACATCAATCAATTCACACGATCGCGCGACCATTACTCATTATCACCAGTGGGTAGCTTACTCACTTGGGATGACTGAAAACTACTACTCAAGCTTCGTACTAGAACTCCAGGAATTACCTCTCGAAAGTAGCCACTAGTGGGCACGGTCTTATTACTATACACCAGAGGAATATTGAGATTTTGAAATTACGTAATATACATCACGAATATCTATGAAACGTAAGCTATAAGTTACTAATAAACAAAACTTTAAACAATATATATATGATAAACCTTCTGACTGAACGGTCAAATCGATTTCCTAAGCTCTTCTAATAAATCCCAGGTTAACTCTACACAATTTGAATACGAGAGAAAAGGCGTAAAATATGACAAAGAACGCCTTACTCCAAGCTTAGTTTATGCGCAGCAAATTGAGGGTATCTATGACATTTCCGATGGCCTTGGACCTCTAGAAGGTTCCGGAACCCTACTAAACATAGTAGCAGGACAAGTAATCATCCAGTCAGAAATGTGACGGGTGATTTTTCACTTTCTGGACGTTTCCCAACAAAAAATTCAGTTCAATGCTTATTGTATAAAATGTTTCCCAGTGTTTTCAGGGCCCCCTTCGAGCGTTTTTAAAAGAATATCCTGGGTCACCCTAATACATATACTGAAAGTAAACTGAAATCTGTAAGTATTTGATAGATAAGAATAAATCTATTTAAGGCACTCTTTAAAGAAGTTCAATAAAGTAAAAAACAGTCAATATTCAATAACTTTTATACGATAGCCGGTAAAATAGGAGTTCAGCAAACAGGCTTTGGAGCATTATTAGCTTCCTCTAGTATATATATATTCATCAAAATATTGACGGAAACACATAATCAAATACTAACCGTTCTAATTATTTATTAACTAATAGATATGAATCAAGGCGGGTGTTCAAAAGCATTATGATAACATGAAGAAATAATAATGCTCACAATAAATGAAATACTCAAATAACAGAAACAGTCCAGAAAAATAATCAAAATGATAAAATCAAACAAAAATTAAGTAGCATTGATCCGGTGGTTGAAAGAAGAATAGATTAATGAAAATAATTTACAGGTCAGAAATATGAGAGATAATTGTCCACATCTTTAAATTAATTTGCCCTTGTAGTAGAGGTTACATTGACCGCACAAAGCGAATACTTTAAAGATGCATCTCAAAACATTTCTAAAGGACGGAATGAGAGGTTATCACTATTTCAATACAGTAGCACATTATCAACTCGGGGAACGTTACTCCATACTTGTCCTTTAAAATAATCTTTACGGTCAAAAGAATTGGAACAAATGAAGGTCGAATGAAAAATCTATCTACTACTTACACGTTTGCGATTCATCAATTCAAGCCAGAACTCTGCATACAAAAGCGATACATCCAATCTCTCATCCTTCCTTTCACCTGATTCCCTTCCTCAGCATGTTAAGTTCTTCTTCTTATTCTTATTATTTTATAATTTTTAAAACTGTAATTAGTTATCATTGCCTTCTGATATTTTTAATGATCATTATTCAATAACCACTGTGACCTTTGTGTTTGTTTTCAATTTAAGTGGATAATTATCTCCCATTTTTGCTGACTTGTAAATAATTTTTTATGAGGTAGTATTGAATTAGTCAATAAAATTAACCTCTTACTCATTAAAACTTACATTAAATTATTTGTGCATGCAGGACACAACCAAACTTTCCCGACAGCCAAACATAAATTCATGAATCCATATTGTATAATGGCAAGAAATTTATCCACTTCTTGTATTCTAATTTTATCATCCGATGATGATGTTGTTGTTGTTGAGGATAACAGCACTTGTACTGATGGCAATCTCATTAAAATTATTGTTAGAAGATTCAAATGTGATGATAAAATATCCAAATTGAGAGAGTCTTCAGCATCATTAATGTGTTTGCTTAACTGTTTCAATAATTCATATGTGCCGAAATTAGATGATTCAACTAGGAAGACTTTAGGTAGTAATCTATGAAGAACCTGATATAAAATATAGGATGAAAGATATTGATATCAAGAATAACGAATTATTAGTAGTTTTTGATGTTACCGCTTTATTTGCTTTCAATGAAATAAAGTCAGGGAAGAACACCATATACCTAATGCTACCCAATAGTACTGTCAAATGCGCTAACACGATTTGTTATTTCTCTCCCACTCTGTTTTTAGTGCACGTCATAATACTACTTACTAATATTCAGTAAGTAATTTATTATCGACCATTTTGGAGAAAACATTCTTACAATATCTCTTTGTTGTTCCGTTGTATATCTAAATATTTACATCAACCTATAACAGCCAATTTATTTTTATGTTAACTGTATTTGTCTTCATATTAAACAGTAACTTTGTTTGTACTAATTTTGATAATTTGTATGCATAATACTCATTTCGATTGTTTATTGCCATTGTGTTATTGACACGGCAACTAACTATCACTTAGTTTATTGTGTTTTTCTGTAGAGAAATCGTATATGTAACTATTGTTAGAAGTATTTCATTTCTGGTTATAAATTGCATCACAGTGTCCATAGTAGGTACTTCACGAATTGAGGTTTCTCAATTCATTGCTTATATTGTTATTAGTAATAGTATCGTATTTGAAACAAATTTTGTATTTTGATTCCAGGATTTTCACATATTACAACACTATCATTTAGCCAAAAGAATCCAAGTAATTTAAAACATACAAAGCTACAATGTCAAAATTCACTAGAACTTATAGGGTGAGACTATAATTTATAGACGACCTTTGAGCGAAGCTGAAGTGATCTTAAGAATGGACATCTACTGATTAAGACTAAATGAGAATTATAAACCAGCTAGAATTTTGATTTACGGTTGATGGTCAAGATTAAAAATTAGATATAGGTATTTCATCACGAACTGATGTCAGCTATAATGCCAAAGCTCTATTTAGTCAAATGTATGAATGAATTTCGCGCCTAAATTCATTACTCGTTATCTTATATCTGGTTGGTTCGTCCATAAATTATAGTCTCGCCACTTATAGATTTTCACTTAACAGCATATTCTCAATTCAATAATAAAGACGAAAGAAGCTGCAAAAAAAATTCATCAATCACCATTGACAGGTATCTCTAGTGTAAACGAAATATTTATCATCATTGAAAAGAAAGCGCTGGAAAGTGCCTAATATATAACCAAAAGCTTCTTTGAGAGGACAAATTCACATTCTGCTGAAAGATATACGGATAGATCTAATCTGTATTGCATAAGCATTAGCTATGGGCGATATAAAGTCAGATATGTGTGCATATAAACAGTATGTAAATTCTTTATTTATTGTTATGACTCTGGTTTCCTATGCGTTTCATTAGTTTCTACTTAGTCTTCTTCCCATCTTTCTGGAATCACGTTGGGTAGGATTATCGAAATTGCTTACCCCGATTAGTGTTTTTTTAGCAGGGTCGTTTTCCACGGAATGGGGTTGCTGACCCCATATCCAACCTTCCTCATTTAACAATACAAGGGACCGGCAGTAATCCTAGGAGAGCTAAAGGCAGAGTTGAAGAGGAAATTAGGGGACGACGCTGGAGGTGGATAGGACATACATTATGGAAATCATCAAACTGTATCACGAAGCAAGCCCTAACATGAAATCCTGAAGGGAAAAGAAAAATACAAAGACCAAAGAACACATGGTAGGGAATTAAAAGCAGACATCAAAAGAATGAATAGCGACTGGAAACAACCATAAAGGATTACCTAAGACAGAATTCGATGAAGAATCCTGGTCGACAGTCTACGCTCCACGAGGAGTAACAGGTTTAAATAAGTAAGATTATCTAAGTACTGGAATTTGTCCTATCTAAAACCTTGAATACGTATTGCTGATTGAACCTAAAACTAACCAGTTATCTAGAGTTACTTAGTTTGTTATAGTTTATTAACTGATAAAAAAATGATGAAAATGATCGTTTTATTCATTGTTTGCAGGTTATGAGCAGTGATTAGAAAAAAGCAATAGAACCGTAAAGAACCTGATAATCTGCACCCAGTCTACTTTCAAGTTTTCATGATTATAGTCTAAAACCAGATGTTACCAATCACCGTTGATAAGTGGGATAAATATTTGTGAACACAAAATCGATCCAAAACGCTAATGAGTCAATAGTTATGCCACTTTCTTAGTGTACTTATGTTCATCTTACACGACTACTTAAACGAAACCATTTGGTCATAAAACGGATAATTATTAAGGCATGTACTCTGACGACAATACTGTAATCTAAAATAGTAAGTTTTGGTTAGGTGTTTTGTTTATATTATATGACTGCCCCTTACAGCCAAACAAGTTGGTGAAGCTTAGTAAGTCCTTCTGGTGAGAAACGGGCAACATCGAAGCACAGCACAACTACCGGGGCTAGAAAAGCTGTTTTTGCAATCCGTTGGAGTTTGTTCTTTGAAGAGCAACTCCGTGTGTTACATGTCCGCGTCGTGCCTCCTGGATAGTAGGACGAATGACTCATGAACTAACGTGAGCGGTAACCCGGGTGGTGGAAATCGGGCTAATCGCCCACTCTTACCGGTACCCACAATTTGATTACGAAATTCACGGAGAAACACAGCACAATTACATTTGGATTGGAAAACGAAAAAAAATTATATGATTAACATTTTCAACAACCTCATGGTAAACGTCCAATCAAAACAAAATATGAATCACGTCTCTTTAAATAATGTACCCTTATATATATACTATACTATACCATACTACTATATAAAATACTTACATGAATAACATGAGAAAACAACAACAATCTTTCCATCCAAACATTTTGTTCATAATTCACGCATAAATTTGGATAATAAATAAATGTTGCTTTCAATAGTCCAGTTAAAGCTTGAGTTGACCAAATTGTAATTTGGCCTAGATTAGATGAACTTGAAAAGATGACAAGTGGTCCAGCGGTAATATGAATCAAATTTTGTAAAGCAGATTGACAGTCATCGAATCTTGAACTAGATTTAGGTAAATTAAAGTAAAATAAGGATATAACAATTATTATGATTCTGAATACACACTATTTCACTTAGTAAACAATATATCATATCGAAACAGTGTTACTTAGTAAATGATAAATATTATCCAGTGAATATTGCATATGTCATATAAGTACTGTTGAGAAATCAAATTGATCTTAGATACAATAAGTACAAATGACTATTCAATGTTAAAACGCAAAATTAATTAACTCTAAATAAACATGATCATATAAACAGATATATAAAATTAACGAAAACCAGCTAAACTACTCTTAAAACCTTATGAGTAGTAAAGTATATATATATATAATTTAATGAGCTTCGATGGTGTTTCACATTTTACTGCATGACAGTACATTGATCATCATGCCATATGGTCAATTGATTAAGGTTAAGAATGGTGACCCATTCACTTCAATTCAAACGGTATATATACATATATATGATATTTAGTTGACGAATAACTTAAGCACACTTCCATTTTCTTGAATTCACTAATCTTAAGCTCCATACATCATAATTCTAAAATGCTTTTCCCTCGATTTCAATGATCATGATGAATTTATCATTTTTCATTTCGTTGAAATCTACATGAAGATCTGTTCAAATGGAAGTTCATGGTCATCACAGATGAATATCAGATAATTAAAATAACCTATTATGTTATTGAATACAAAATGAAAAGAATTTTCAACGAAGAAAATTTTCTTTTCAACGAGCTCGTTTATTTTGTATTCAAAAACGATACATCCAATCATTTATCCTTCTTTAGCCCTAATTTCCTTTTGTAGTATGTCTTGTTTCCTAATTCGTGTTTTGTAAATTTAAACCGTGATCAGTCATTATCATCCTTTAACAATACTTCATGATTATTATTATGACTTTTATGTTTTTCGTTGTTTTTTCATTTCTGTCAAGCGGACAATGCGCAAGGTTTGAAGCGGTTACGAGTTCACCTAGTCTACGAACGGAACAAAGACCCAGTGACAAAAGACCAATAAACTAGCTATTCAATGCGTCCCAGCCCCGCTAACTAGAGGAAGAAGTCCAAGCTTGAAATGGGGAAGTATATTCCGCAAACAACCAGAAGCACGAGCGATAACAACAGACGCAAATCAAAACGTATATATACAGCACAAAACAGTCCTTCAGGAGAGTTACAAAATAGCATACTAAAAGACACAACGGACCAATGGCATTTAAGATTCTCCCAAGTGGGTAATACGATATGAAGGTGAAAAGAGCGCTTTTAGCGCTAAAACAAAGAAATTCAAATTTTAAAAATAATATTACAAAATTAGGTCTTTTTTCAAGTGAGTTCTGGGGATCTAACGTTTCGCAACACAATTATCCTTCATTATTTTCATCCTTCTATTCTTCTCTAATACCTTGATTATGACATAACCTCATTGGATAGTTGGTGTCTTGAATCGCTTTATGATGCAATCTTTTCTATTCTTCTATAAACAGATATTTACCATACAATTACATTGCTGAATTCCCTTTATTTTTCGTTAGATATCAGTTGATGTATTACTGAAAACCTACAAGACTAAAGAACTATTTTATTCAAATGTCGAAAGCCTCATATTATAATTCTTACAAAAATATATATATTTAGTGAAAAGTTAATCTGATAATCAAGTCTGAACTATTAATGACTAGTAAATAGGTTTTTTCTTTAAAACAAAACAAAACAAAACCATTATCTTGTTTATTGTTTACCACTAATATAGATTGAATAAGTTCTGTTAATTATTTTACTTTCTTTGAATATTACTACTCAATTATCTTAATCAGTAGAGGGTATACATAATGAATTACAATAGAGGCTTTACCTTATTCAATGGATTTTCATAAACATTTAGTATTAATATATCATAACCAATAAATAATGAGAGTGATTACATGTTTTCAAGTTATATAATGGGAAAAATTAAGTGAGAAAAAAAGAAAAGAAAAAGAAGAGAATGACACAATATAACAATTGATGGTGTTTTTTATACATCAGTCCCATTCATAAATCATCTATCTATCTATCTATTTATCCTCATTAATGAAATAGGTATATATATTGAGTTTGCTTATATAGATACAAATAACTTAGATGAAATCTATGTATTACCACTTAGTTATATTATATCTATTTTATAGAAAAAGTCCATTAAAATGAATCCATAAACTATATTTATTATATAATCTTATCGTCAACTTATCTCTATGAATCTCAAAAATCTAAATTCATAAGTAAAAAGTTTAATATAGAAGAATTTGTGGAGAATATAGAATTAATTCATTAATTGAATTCAGATTAATATTAGCATGGAGGAAGTATGAAAAACGACTATTTAATCAGAATATGAGACTCGTCAATAATTTGCATCCATAACCATACATTTGAGAATCTAATACAAAAACAATCAATTTTGCGCGAGAACCCTTAACTTCCAGATCATAGAACAAGCATTCAGTGATGTATATATTATCTAAATTTAATCAATTCACGACATTGAGCGAACATCTATCATTCTTAAAAGTATGGTGTACGGAGCCTAAGATCAATGTACTACTTTTGAAAAAGGCAACAGTATGTTTACGACATTGATGGACCAAACAGTATATATATATATATATATATATATATATATATATATAGCAGTCCTGTCATTCCAGGTTTTCAATGATGATCTAACTAAAGTCAATTCATGACTCAAAGTATGAAACATTTTATTCATACCATTTTATACACCCTACCATTATTCACATGTTATCCATAGAAAAACTGTACATCAGTTGCTTTAAATATGCTTTTTTATAAATTTCTGCAGTTGTAATAATGGAATTCTACATATTTAGATCTGGCGGAGAGCGTTTTGTTTCACTAAAACTATTATTTTTGAACACAATAATTAGCAGTTTTCTCGTTTTCAATGATCCTGCAAGTTACGTCAACCTATGATGAAAACAATTTTCACACTGAAATACTCTCCATAATCTTCGCCATTGATTCATAGTTGTGTTTTCACCAGCGACTAAATTCCATATGAATTATTGAGGTCCCAGTAAGAACTTGTTGTCGATGAAGTTCAAATACATCGTAGAAAATGGGTGATTAAGCAGCATTACTGTATCACTGATTGACTAAGTTTAGAAATGTGAATTGTTGAATATATAAAATAATTGCACTAATCATGAGATTTGAAGATGTGAGACTTGATTCATAGTTGAATCATGAATGTGTACAGGTGAGAAGTACCGAAAATTGTTATTACACTGCGTTTTTAGATTAGAAAAGATGAACTACGATTACATCCGATAGGAAACTATTAGAAATAAAGACACCGATAATGGAAATTCAATGCTTTTGAACATTCAGATTGTTCATTATTGTAAAGATTCGCATTTCCACACAGAAAATATATTTTAATTTCAATAGTTCAGATTATGGGTCAATTGAAGTTAGACCTTTACGGAAGACCTGAAAGCACTGGACGGCCGTTTCGCCCCCATTTAGCGTATACTTCATGAACAGAACTTTTTCCACTATTTTTTTGTTAAAGTTTATTAAAACGCAAATGGTTGTGTAATAATGATTTTGTTGTATTTCATTAGCTTAGAAAAACAGAAAGGGAAATAAAAACCACACGTTGTTTATTCTTCCTCTTGACTGTAGCTGCTACATCAACATGTTGGTCGGTCTTTCATATGTTCATGATTCAGTTGAGCTATATTTGCTGGGACATATATTCTTTTAGGTTCTACCACACCAACTAGGTAGGTTGGAGAGTTGTAGGACTAAAATTAGTAAACCCTAATTGCAAAGTTGTTGTACTGCCAACTGTATAAGTGTTTCGACGGTAAGGTAAGCAACAGTCAATCAGTTAGTAACAACGTAGAACTTCGTACGTACGTACATCAGTTCGACTTGTTATACCATATTAGCACAGAAATGCAGTTGACGATTCAAATCCCGTATTGGTAGAGGTAGTAAGAGTATAAGCAGTAATCGGGAAGATTAAGGTTTGAAGATGTTATTCAAGGAGTATAACCCAGTGAAATAAGTTTGGAAAAAAGAAAAAGGGACATGAAGGTACCCAATATCTACAGTAATTCTGCGTTTCAACAACAGACAAATTTGTTGAATAAAAGGCAATGCTTAAAAATAGCATAACTCAACATGTAACACGGTAAAAACATGAAATTACAAGGCCTGCTAATCTAAAATTGCTCGAAGAAATGCCATATTTGATCAGCCTTAAGCAAATGTCCTTTGAGTAATAAGACCAATCTTCCAAGTCATCAAGACCACTTCTTATCAAATTTCCTTTTCCAAGTCTCTCAAAAAAACCATTTTCTCTTACGAATTGACCAATCTGAAGTGAGATTCATACATCATTATCGAATTCATTTATTACGTTATATTAATGACAAACTGTTATCTAAAATAATTGATACTAAATCGTACAGTAGATCTGATTTCAGTAAACTCACCTAATTTCTTATTATCAAAATAACTTATATAAATATGATATCCATAAACAATTATAAAATCTATATGTAGTCATGCCGCCAAATGCCCTGGTACGGCCGAGAGTGAGGAGAGTCCGCTCTCCCTGTCAAAATAATCTCACATGGCCACGCGTATATAGCATCTGCCAGGGAAGTCTTACTCACTGCCTTCTCGTGGCAAGGGTGTTGTTTACGAAATTGAGAGGACGAAAAGCGAAAGCGAATGTCCGGCGCTTTAACCGGATTCCAAACCAAATCAATGGTGCACATGAGCTCCAGTATCCTGAAGGAACAAATAGCGTATGAACCAATCGTTGGTCACCGGCTTCCATGGGACTGCATCTCCTTACGATGCTCCACTGCCTTGTGGATCAAATCCGTAGGTCGAAGGCTCGGGGAGTGACCCCCTAAGAAAGCCACCTGCTTCGGTTTGGGCACCCGGACAGTATCACAGCTCTCACACATATCGAATGAGATTTGTTTGGCGCATATGTATTTGATGCCTCCTTGTACCAACATCTTTGTGTTAAAATAAATGAATAAATAAACAATACAAGTTGGAATAAGTCGACATAGGAACATATAAAAACAACATATATAGATGTGCTTATTTTGATGAGGCTTATTATTTACTTTTGTCTAGTAATCAATCAGTATCATTTACTACGTGTAATTCTTTCAAATACAAGGTTTATCGAATAAATATTCAATAAGAAGAAGAAATCAACTTTGCACCTGATCACCACTTAGCATTAACAATTACTATGTTAGATACATGTGATAATAAATATTATAAATATGTAATAGTATTATTATTATTTTTTTAAATTTAAATTTGGCGAACCTTTAACACAAACATGAAATTATCACATACACTTAGTGATTAAAACAACAACAACAATAATAACAACAACGAAAAAATTCTTTTTCATTTACATGATAACAGCTTATTACAAGCATAAATTGTAGTTTTTTATCGTGTTCGAAATAAAAAAGCAGAAGAGAAAAGAAAAGAAAAAGAAAAAAAAAGAGAAAAGCAAACATTTACATTTATAGTTTGGAATGTTTAAAATGATTCAATATTTTAATGAAACGAATGAACAATGATTAATGATAATGAAAATATGAATTAATATCTTAGATTTTTAGAGAAAGAGAAATAAAATATACTGGAAGAAGAAAAAAAACATGAAAATTACATTTGTATATAAGAGACAAACTCTATTTGTATTGGAATAGGGGGTTAAAAAAAATAAGCAGGACGTGAAGACATTCCATAGATACACAGAAGAATTACATATAGGATAAACATAATGTCAAGATATATACATATATATATATATATATTCACTGTTTGTTATATCTTTATTGGTTATGTATGGAATGTATAAACATATTGAGACTGAAACATATGTGCATAGTTTTAACATGCCTATTTTTAGGTCAACAGTTAAAAATAACAATTATTTAATGATATAATATTTTTTTCTCTACAGTTTGTTACTTACTTGGTATTAATATTCATTTTATGATGAGTGTCAACAATAGAGAATAATAAACAAAAAAAACCACCGATTTATTTGGTTATAAGCTGAATAATATTAGTTTGAAAAAAAGTAGTACAAATAAGTAGTATATAGCTTATTAAATCAATTTAAAATTATGAAGAGTAAAAGAATCACTACACTAATGAAAATAAAAAAAAGGTTAATCATTGAGAATATGGTTTGAAAAGATATAATGAAAGAGTATGAATGAAAAAAATAATAGAACTCAAGAAATGCATAGAGTTAAACAATGAATGAATGAATGTACATCAATGTGACCGATTTCAAACCATTTTGCTTAACGTAACCAACTACACATCAAGAACATCATAAGCAATAGTGGGGTTAGACGCAAGGTATTAAGGAATGATGGTTAATCAGTTGATCAGGTTGTGAATCTTCACAGACTAAGATGGTTAGGCAACGTGTTGCGTATACCTCAACACCGATTAACATGACGCGCAATGCTAACCTGTGTTGTAATTAAGCTTAGATTACAATCACATTCATTTACCTTAAATATTATTCCAATGGAATGAAAACGAAACATGTAAACAACTCACCTACTTTTAAATGGTTTACCAGGTAAATTATTAATTTGTGTATAAAATCACGAAATTATACAAAATTTTCAGTAACCTTACTTAGAAGTAAATTATAACAAACGCCGATATCTGATCATTGGTAAATCAGTTGATGAGGTTGTGAATCTTCATCGACTGAGATGGTTGGGCCACGTGTTACGTATGCCCGAACACCGATTACCACGACGCGCAATGCTAACCGGTGTTGGGGATGGTTGGAAGAAAGTTAGGGGCGGCCAAACCAAAACGTGGCATCAGTGCTAGAAGACACAAACTTGTAGTCTGAGCCATGTTGGTAGATGCAGACTACTTGGTTGGGGTCCGCGTGACTATCGTAACCAATGGTTGGAGACTCTGTGACATGGCTCAGAATCCATCACAATGGCGTCGGTGTATACACTGTCTGTCTTCCCTCAAACTAAGAGATTAAAATCGCTTCATATCTTTCTTTCTATGAACTAATTCTTCCTTCCTGTACCGTGTCCCTATATGCAATCTTTCTTTTATATATTACCATCACTGAACTAGCTACTTCAATGAATTCGGTGTTCATCTTGCTGTGCTAATGATATGTGGCAACTTGGACCAATGCATGTATGTGCCTGGTCCTCTGTTGTGGCTGACTGACTGATTAAAGGATGCTAACTACGTGGTCTGCACGTAGCGATACAACCCAGTTCATCAGTTAATGACTTTATGGACGGATAATTTCTAGAATCATCCCATTCAGACCAGTCGGCAATCAACAGATATATCCAGTTCATCAACCCAAACCAGAAAGTCAACAAGAATAAAAGAGCAAATTAAATTAACGAAATATGCGGGGACAGACAACCATAGACAAGAACATCAGAACGGAGTGATTTGGTATTTGTAGGATAATTTCAAAAAGAAACTCGCTTACAACTGAAGGAAACGTTGAAGGTTTTATACAGAACAACACTGTGAGCCGTCCAGTTTAAAATATGTAAAACCACCGACAATATATTTATTTTCTCATAACTAGTGCTAAGAGATGAATACTGACTTTTAAATGTAACCGATCTCATTGAATTGTGGAGTCACTGATTTAGTAATTACATTTTCACGAGTTCAAACTGCATTCTACACAAATAAATTCAAGTAATCAAAGTATGTTAATAGAACATGAACGAATTGATACTACCTAAGTTAGAGTTGAAAAGTGTGTATGCTAATTTTTGCAAAGTGAACAATTCATAATTTTGAGTTTTCTGATTTTCATTTTCATATTTTACCAAAATTAAGATTAGATTAATTTCTAAAACTATAGAAATATAGAAAGCCAACATGATGTGTACATTATACAAATTTCCAGAGTTATCTGCCTCTGAATAAGAAGAGGAATTCAATCCATTCTCTATTCTTGAAATCCAAACGAATATTCACAAATTATACAATTAATGGTGGGTTGAATAAAATTCGACAAACAATTTTAGAAAATCGTTTGCTTCCCGACTAGCTTCGATAATTTTATTAAATGATGTCACAATTCTATTTTCTTACAGACTATTACATGTCATACAAAGTACCTATAAATATGATTGTATAGCTCAAGAAGATGATACTGTCGTAAAGAAGATTCTTTTCATTGTTTTAAAAACATATCATTTTTTATAACTTGACATTTTACGTTGATTAGTCAGTTACTCAATTCATTACCTACATTTCAGTTTGGCCTTGTGGAGATTATTGATTTCGATTAAGATCACAAACCGATTACTTATGAATATTATAAACATTTTGGAACGAACTCTTACATTATCATTATTTTCAATGGTTAAGATCATGAGTCAGTTGAAGCTAGACCACCATAGAAAACCTGGAAGCCTTGGACGGCCGTTTCGTCCTATTGTGGGACTCCTCAGCAGTGTGCATCCACGACCTCGCCCCCTTCGAGATTAGAACCCAGGACCTACTGGTTTCGCACGCGAGCACTTAACCACTAGACCACTGAGCTAGTCGGTATCCAACAGTGTTAATGTCTAACTGCAACTAATCCACGAAATTGAGCGACACATCCATCATTGTCTTCAGTGAGTAACTATCTCACAACAGACCTGGTTGAACTCCACTGTTCACTACTTCTCACTAGAACTCCAGGATATGCCTCGTGAAGCCAGTCACTAGTGAGCATATGATGATTAATATCAGATGGGTTTTGTGGATATTATAGTAATTTCAAGTGACTCATGATCGTAACCATTGAAATTACTATAATATCCACAAAACCCATCTGATATTTTCATTATTATTATCATATGATAAAATGGTTTTTTTCGGGAAATCGATAAAAAAAAACAAAATATTACTCACTATTTAGTTTTATATCCAGCAAGTATACATATGTTTGTCAATACTATCATAGCAATTTCTTGAAAATATGGATCACCATAACCAGTGGGTATTATTTCTATTAGGCATTTAAGAAATTCTTGACTTTTAGCAAGTTGATACCAATAAACTGGAATTTCACAGAAAAAAACAACAATAATAATATGATTGTTACTAATGGATGTTGACAAGATTGTGGAATTTAAATTTTCCATATTATGGACTGATTTTGTTTAGACAACCATTGAAGACTATAAAGTACTAGACAGGTGTTTTGTTTTATTATGAAACTTTTCAAGAATGTACATCTACAACCCCATTTGGGGTCGAACCTAGGACCTACAGACCTCACAATGAGAGGTTAACCTTCAGATAAACGAGTAAGATTCCAATGGTTCCTATTTTAATTTCAACTGCTTGCATGATCGTGGGTTCGGATTTATGAGGAATTTCATTCTAAGACAGGACAGGTATCTAGTGCATCTTGGATCTCAGTGGTTGACTATCGCAAATCAGTCTGTGATAGACGACTTTAGAAATAATACAGTGGTTTGTTTTTATTTAGAAATGATTATTTTGAAAGTTCGTTTCTATTACTTGGAAAATAATTTAGAATTTAAGGGATATTGAACAATAATATAACGCGTCTTTAACAAGTTCATAAACCTGCCACACCCACTTCAGTCTGGACAACTGAGTAGAATCATTAAACTTCACACTTAGGGTATGCCCTATACTCAAATATCTGCTGTATGAATTAAATTAAACTTAATCCGAAAAAACAAATGAACATCAGATGATAAAACTAGGATTACAGAAGCAAAGAACAAACCTAATCAACAAATTGTTCTTTTATCCTTTACTTTCCCGAACAAGGGGATTAAAACATGATTTATTCAAGAAACGAAATAATTAAAATTGGAAATCAATTTTAGATTGTGATATTTTTCTTAGTGACTTCATATTTATAGTTTTTCATCTATTTATACGAACACAAAAGCATTGGTAGAAATAAGCACCAAATACGTACGCACCATTAGATTTGTGTGAGAGCTAGAATACTGGCCGGCTGCCCTAATCGAAACAGGCGATTTCCTTAGGGGGCCACTACCCGAACCTTTGACCCAGAGGTCTAATCCACAGGGCAGTGGAGAGACGTAAGGAGATGTAGTCTCATGGTAATTCATTTATTTGTTTTCTCAGAAATGATTATTTTAAATGTAAGGATTTTATTGTCTATATGAACAACATCATTAGCTCTCGTTTCACGTATAAGTAAACTACTGAATTACTTTAATCTAGTTAACAATGACGATTTTGTTTTATGAATAGTTGTCTTTGAAGGTTTTACTAGTGTCATTTATTACTTTATGTTTGTTGACTCGCTTGTTTGATTAACGGTCTACATTTTCAGTATGGTTTGGTAAATAACAAATAATTCGTGTCTATTAGTTAGTTTAGTAGGTGTTTTTTTATTACATATCTCTTCTAAATGTAAAAGTGCTTACCAAGTTCAAATTGATAACCTTTATATATATATATATATATATATATATATATATATATATATATATATATATATACTGTTCCGCTTAGTCAGACAGTATACAAACGATTGTCTACTGTAATCCAGTCTAAGTGAGCTAGTTCTGCCCTAAGACTCAATACTATACCTACACCAGCAAGGCCACAGGAAGCAGAATCAGGGCTTTCGAATGCACGAAGCGTGAATCGAGATGGTTCTTTATTTTGATATGGTGAGGTCAAATGAATGACGTTACTCGGATCCTGTATGCGCGTTTCAAAAACGCAACACACATCAATGGCGCGAGATTCTAAAGTCCTATCTAAGGAAACCTATCGTCCTATTTGGCAGTGTTCGAATGTTAAAAACTCCTACATACACTTCAGAGCGTGGTTTCGGGAGACCAGGAATAACGTTCCGTGTACTCGAATCGTTCGCATTAGCAGCGCGAGATGATAAAGGAACGTGAGAATGGTTAGTCGTGGAGATAAGAGAGTTATTGGAGTGTGTAAAAAGGATGGATCTCCCGACCGTTGTCTCTACCTTAACATGGTGGTCGGGTTTGCTTATCATGATGAACCAATCGACCTATATTGGCTGGAACAGTCGTTCCTCAAGGTTCTACCATGCCAGACAGGTCGGTTGACGAGCAACAAGACTAAAAGCAGCAAACACAAGGTCTAAGGGCGAAGTCGCACTGTACAGAAGTGTGACAGCATTAGAGTGTTTCCTTCAGACAACCAGCATAACAGCGATGCTGCTTTCCCACAGGGAGGGGTAGGTTTAGAAAAGGTCGACCCTAAAAATACACACCTCGCCTTATCCCACGGATATCCGTTCCCGTCGGTAAGATCTCAACAAGTACGGAGCTAACACGAAAATTACCCAAGACCACCTTTAATCCAATTCCCTATTCAGGTTCCTCTAGACAACCCTTCCACAGTGTGGGCAACCGGCATGTGATAACCGCTCTCATACTTCCAACAGCATTCATGACCATTAGGAAGGATTTGATCGTGACCAACTTGATCTCGTGCGCTGTTACGGGCATAAGGGATGATGCCGACTTCCGGCAACCCACACCGTGGGTGTTTCTTGAAAAACCTGGAAAAGAATTCGGATTAGTGTTGGTCTTAACGACCTTGGAGGATGACCGCAAAACCCAAGGGACAACTGCTTGAAGCCGGACGCACACGGCCTTTTCGTGAGAAGTATTGAACCTGTTACTCCGTTCTTCAAAAGGCCTTACTGCCGGAGGCGGAAAGCCGTGAGGTAAGGTGGGGTGTGACATTTTTAGGGTCGATCTTTTCTTACCCCTTCCTTCCTTGTGAAAAGGCAGCATCGCTGAAGATGCTGGTTATCCAAAAGAAAGACCTTACTGTTGTCACACCTATCTACAGTCAGCAGTACGACTTCGCACTTAGACCTTGAGGTGCTGCTTTTAGTCTTACCGTTCTCCAATCGACCTGCCTGGCATGGTATAACCTACGGGAATATATGTCCCAGACAATATAGCTCGGTTGAGTCATCACGATAGACAAGCCCGACCACCACATCAAGGTGGCAGCTATGGTCAGGCAGTAGTAATTAAAACTTTAGAATAGCATGATAAAACTTTTAGCAACTGTTCACATCAAAACAATCACTTCTAAATGAAACATCTAATTACATCTTGTTAATGATAAACAATGAATTTTAAGACTTAAACATTATTCTATAACATTGTGTTGCGTGCTACTTATATTGACATAAGATCAAGAAAGGAAGAACGGGAATAGAAAGCAATTAGTATAGAAATGCAAGAACAATGAAGTTCGAGACAATTATTGAACATTTTGCAAATTGAGTATTATAGTATAGTTTTTCTATTTCACCAAGTAACTCTGTAATGTTGTGTCGAACATAATTCGGTTGTCCACACTACAACATGACTTCTTAACTGACGTTAATCATTTTAGGAAAAAAACAAAACGTAAAGAGTAAACTAAATTAAAATTCAAAACAAAATAAGAATCTTCTTTTCTTTTTCACTTTTACCTCTATATTTGATACCAGAGATTAATTGATATTTACTTTGATCAGTTATTAATAAACATTGATTGATACATTTCAACGTATCAGTGTTTATGATAACATATTTACTATAATCATAATAATTCAGATCATTTTCATGATCCAATGAAAATGTCATTGATTCAAAATTATGTAATTGTGAATATGGTATTAATGAATGAAATGATAAATCTTTTATGAAATTATTATTCTCTTTGTATATTTTATTGTTGAATATAGTTTTTAATTTAATTCTGTAAATATATTCAGAGAATGAAAGACGATCATAGAAATTAGGCATTATTGTTGAAGAAAATATCGATTCAATATAAGATCATTTATGTGATCTGAAAATTAAAAAAAAGAATTCTATTACGAATTGATATTAATTAGATAAGTATTGAAAATATATAATTGTATCAGCCTCGTGGCTTCCGAAGGGACTCGGCTTTCACTGTGAGGTGTTATAACCCTTCTAAATAAAGATCGTTTGACTCCCAGGAGAGAGTTTAAGTGGTTTGAATAATTTTTTCTGGTTAGCGCTTCTTTAGCGAGTTAGTTTTCTACGGGATGGGGTCGTTAACCCCATGACCCAAAACAGTTCTATTGTATGGGGCGGAAACCTGGAGAACTACAAAAGCCTTCATTCAGAAGATGCAAGTGTTTAATAACAGTTGTCTACGCAAAATAATTCGGATCCGTTGGTCAGACACTATCAGCAACCACCTACTATCAAAGAGAACAAACCAGATCCCTGTGGAGGAAGAAATCAGGAAGAAGTGCTGGAAGTGGATAGGGCATATATTGAGGAAAGCAACCAACTACGTCACAAGGCAAGCCCTCACATGGAATCCTCAAGGACAAAGGGAAAGAGGAAGACCAAAGAACACATTACGTCGAGAAATGGAGACAGACATGAGAAAAATAAACAAAAATTGAACAGAACTGGAAAGGAAAACCAAGGACAGAGTGGGTTGGAGAATGCTGGTCGGCGGCCTATGCTCCATTGGGAGTAACAGGCGTAAGTAAGTACCTTCTTATTCAAGATATGATGAAATCTGTAAGCTAAAAACATCGGATAGAAAGGAAGAAAATTTGCATTGAACTTAATCTTGCTGATGAATATATGATCAGATATCGGTCAGTCAGTCAGCTACAACGTAGGAACAGGCACATTTATGCATCGGTCCAAGTTGCCATAACTCATTAACACAACAAGATGGACACCAGATTCATATAAGTAGTGAATTCAGAGGTGGTAATATGTAAAAGAAAGATTGCATATAGGGACACGGTACAGGAAGGAAGAATTAGTTCATAGAAAGAAAGATATGAAGCGATTTTAATCTCTTAGTTTGAGGGAAGACAGACAGTGTATACACCGACGCCATTGTGATGGATTCTGAGCCATGTCACAGAGTCTCCAACCATTGGTTACGATAGTCACGCGGACCCCAACCAAGTAGTCTGCATCTACCAACATGGCTCAGACTACAAGTTTGTGTCTTCTAGCACTGATGCCACGTTTTGGTTTGGCCGCCCCTAACTTTCTTCCAACCATCCCCAACACCGGTTAGCATTGCGCGTCGTGGTAATCGGTGTTCGGGCATACGTAACACGGGGCCCAACCATCTCAGTCGATGAAGATTCACAACCTCATCAACTGATTTACCAATGATCAGATATCGGCATTTGTTATAATTTACTTCTAAGTAAGGTTACTGAAAATTTTGTATAATTTCGTGATTTTATACACAAATTAATAATTTACCTGGTAAACCATTTAAAAGTAGGTGAGTTGTTTACATGTTTCGTTTTCATTCCATTGGAATAATATTTAAGGTAAATGAATGTGATTGTAATCTAAGCTTAATTACAATAGTCAATTCTTCTTGGAAAGATTTAACTCAACTCCACATTCCATTTGTTAAACTAGTGATAGTTGGATGCGTTGTCAAAACATTCATAAATAAAGCTTACATATTACAAAAAAACAACCCCCTATTAATTGTATTCACCAACTACAAGTTAGCAGCAACTGATATGAAAAATAAATAAATCTAGTTGAACGATATTCTAGCGTATAAACAAACAGGTTGTTGATCCAAACATCAATAAGAATGACATAATTATCGGAATATTTCAGTAGTATAAAGTAAATTTTCAAAAAAGAAATGATGTTAATTTGTATATTTCAATGGTCTAATGGTTAAGCGCTCGCGCGGGGTGAGATCGTGGATGGGCACTGCTGGGGAGTCCCTTACTAGGACGAGATGGCCCTCCAGTGCTTCCAGGTTTTCCATGGTGGTCTAGCTTCAATTGACTCGTGATTTCAACTAGTGATATTTCAATGATAGTTTTATTATTTAGCATTCCAAGCAAAAGAAAGAAAATAATAGTAAATCAATTAATTTCAGGCGAAAGATTAATTCGAGAGAGAAATCAAATTAAGATGAATAAATTACTAAGAACATAAGAGAATCATCTAAGTAATATATCCACGTGTTCCTAACAAATTTGGTAAAGTAATCTGAATAGTAATGTCATATTGTTGATAGTTTCTTAGAAGAAAGAGTGAAACATTATCACAAGATCCCTTTATTTTATAAAGCCATATGTGGTAAAAAAAAAATAGTATCACTTTAATGCACAGATCAAAGAGATAAATCAAATCCATAAGGAAATTTTAGTTGACAAAGTAACAAAGTCTTGGATTGAATTATTACCATATTAGCTGATGATAAGAACAGGTTCATATATTTATTTATTCCAGTGAAATATGTTAATAAATACCACCAAATTGATAATACATTATTTGGACGAATTAGTTGAATGAATACGATTAAATATATATAAAATTAAGATAAACAAGTTATCATCAAAGCTAATTAGTTACTAAACATTATTGACACTAAACAGTTGAACAGGCAGAAAAACAACAGTAAACATTTGACTGTGTTTTACGGAATCATTTTTGTTGTGCTTTCTTTATTTTCTTAACAAATGGTAGTTTCAATGTGTAAAAATAACCTCATTAACCCTTTCCCACTGACTGTTTATCTTTTGATTAAGTTCGACATTTTTGTTGTGTTCAAAGGTCAGAATTATTGCCACATAAACAGAATCGATTTATTGCAAGTTCAGTTCGAGTTTTTTTTTCGTGACTTGACTACTTGCTTTTTCATCACTAAAGAGATTATTGTGAAAGTGTTGTACGTTAATCATCCGATCTATTTGGTTCGCGTAAATCCTGTTTCGTATAAAGATTTTTTAATAATTCGTATTCGGAATTACTGTAAGACAAAACCAGGTGAAAAATCTACAATAATGAATTCATTAACTCAAAGCAGATGTATCCCAATTGTCATTCTTTGTTAACTACTTTATCTTCTTTTTGATTTAAAGAAAACAACCTATATAAGATCTTAAACTATGACAAAACAACTATCCTATGTTCCCATGAAAACGTGATACATTTCTACAACACAATATCATTTAGTTTGTATACAAAAATAAATACACTTCTTACAAGATTGTAAACATTACAAAGAAAGAGAAAGAGAGACAGAAGTCAATTTATATTCATAAATGAATAAACAATATCACAGGACATAAAATAATAATAAATAAAACTAACCTTACATGATACACTATAAAATAAAATTGAAAAGTTCTTTTAATTACAACCTAACATAGTAAAATCTGATAGAGGTTAGCAACAGAATCCAGGATACGTTTTTCATCCTAATTCAAATTTATCCATTGAACTTACCGACATCCTAATATTGAGGTGAATATTGACAGTCGAAGCAAGTACCTTACACTTCAAATGTTAATATGCTATCAAGTGAACTATTGAATCTATCAAGCCAACAGTTTGGATAACAGCTATGAATTTATTTAGTGAGGGTTAGTATTTTCTCATTGTTGATATTAAGGACTTCAATTAATTAGTCAACATCACCACCAAGATGTGGGTATATCCATTTGGTGAGTCATAGATGGGACGAAATGTGAGTTCTAGATTCAACTGCTGATCACCATCCTAGTTTATCAAGAACTTATGATAAATTGACACTATGGGGTTATTTGCTCATGATCCATGTATAACAAAAAAGACTGATTAAATCTAGACAGTAACGTCAACAACGAAAAATAGAGAGACCAACCGATAGTTTCCCATTACACGTAAAAAAGTGTAGAGAAGTGAATAGAAGATTCAGTATACTCAAAATATTAAGTATTTATAATTATGTTGGGCATCCAACCCTTATACACATTTAATATTATCTAGACCATTAGATCAGAATAATATCTAAGGCTTTGAAAAGCAACCTACAGCAAGCACTAGATCTATGTTTCTCGTGTTATCAAGATTGAAATCGCGAAGTGATTTCAGCCAGGAATACAAATACTAACTGAAGTTAGAAATGGTGACTATCAAATCCTAATTTATAGGCTGAATGGTATTATACTCGCTAAATAATATAAATATCATGTAAGATATTCGTAAGTGTGAGTTGGCATTTGACCCTAAAATGCCCTGGTATGTTCGAGGGTGTGGAAAGAACACTCTCCCTCTACAAACGCTCTCATATGGATACGCATATAAAGCCACTACCAAGAAGGTTCCACTCACACCCTTCTCAAACACAGCTCTTTTTTACGAAACTGAGAAGACAAAAAGCGGATGTTCAGTGCTTGAATCGGGTTGGTGGGTACGGAACAATTACCAAGAGGAGTTGGAAAACCCTAATCCAAAACCAATGCTCAACATGGGCTACAAGGTCCTGGTCCTGAGGAACTAAATGGAATATGAACCTACTCTTGGTTACCACTTTCTTCCATGAGATCGCATCGCCTAACGTTGCTCTGGCGCCTTGTAAAGTTAGGCTTTAGATCAAAGACTTGCGGAGTAAACTCCCGAGAACACCTGATTCGGTTTGGGTAGCTGGAGAGAATCCCAGCCCAAACACAAATTAAATGATAACAGCATTGTGTGATATATATATATATATATTAGAGCTTCTTCGTATCAGTGTTTCAACAAATAATAAATAAATAAATATGAAGCAACTATTCAGTGCTTCATAGTTAGTTATCATCAATAGATAGACAAGAAAAGAACCATTATTACATATTATTAGCAGTAGATTAATAAGCCAATATTATAAGATCAGACGGTTTTTCACACAAATTATAGTGACTATCAATGACTATCGAAAACCAACGTAAAATTTAATAGAAAGAATAATTAGCAACAATGAATTATGATTTTACTTTCGAAAATTAAACAAGGTG